TTCTCTATAAAAGATCGTGGAGTCTGTGTCTTCCTGTGGTTGGCTTATTTCACTTAACTCAATGTCCTCCAGGTTCATCCAAGTTATGTAAACATACTTTATTGTTGGGAAAAACCCTCCTAATTTATGAATATCAAAAATGGTTAGAAACTTATGGACTATCAGGAAATACAAAAGGACAAACGAAAGATTTCTGGCCTGGTTCCTCTCAGGTTAAGTTGCTGACATAACCCTTGCACCTTGTTTCTTAACCTTGCTTCACTAGGTTTAGGGAAGGTCCCTGAACTAAAAGGGTCCATCATAATCCTCCATTAGTGTTTTTTCTCTCTGATAACAGAACCAGAGGACAGTAGTGTTTGGGAGCCTCATTTCCTTTAAAGAAGGTGTTATGGTTTAGATGTGGTGTCCCTCAAGCCTCTGCCCTCCTCTAATCCCCTGTTCTCTTGACAAGGACCTAGCAGTTGTTCCAGCAGACTGTTGACTCAGAATCAGCAGATAAAATCCTCTTCCTTCTCTTCCCTCCCAAGAGCAATTGTTTAACCAAGGACAGTTAGAAACTGGTCTGTCACTGGGAAATGCCTCCCCCTCCAGAGTTAGCAGTCATGAGGGCACTAGTGTCTGAATGGTGGCACTCACACAGGGAACAAAGCTGTTGAGGGTTGAGGTTAGGAACAAAGGAGTAAGTTGGAAGTGGCAGGAAATGAGGTGTGTGTGTGCGATAAAAGAAGAGGTGATGGCAGGGGGTTCAGAAAGAAGATAGAGGAGGCTGCAACTGTCCTGTGACCTCAGGAAGGTCCCTTTCTCTTTCTGGGCCTGTTACGCATCTACGCAAGAGCAAATTTGGTTGGGTGATCATTGGGGTCCCAGTTTGCTTTGAATCTGGGAGCTGGAAATACAAACAAAGGAAGTCACAGGATAGTTAGTGACACTGGTAGTGGCGGGCAGAAGGGTTGACTGGATGAGTAAAGGGGACAGTAGTGTTTGGGAGCCTCATTTCGTTTAAAGAAGGTATTATGATTTAGATGTGGTGTCTCTCAAAAGCTCACATGTAGAACAATGTAAGAAGGTTTGGAGGAGAAATGAATGGGTTATAGCCTTAGCGTAATCAGTGAATTAATCCCTGATGGGATTAACTGAGTGGTAACTGGAGAAAGGTGGGGTATGGCTGGAGGAAGTGGCTTATTGAGGACATGGCTATGGGGTATATATTTGTATCTGGAGAATGAAGTCCCTGCTTCCTGATCATTATGTGAGCTGGTTCCCTTTGAAACACTCTTCCGCTATGATGTCCTGCCTCACCTCAAGCTCCAAGGCATAGAGCCCATCTTCTATAGACTAAGACCTCTGAGACCATGAGCTCTCAAACTTTTCCTCCTGTACAATTGTTCTGGTGAGATCTTTTAGTCATAATAGCTAAAAGCTGACTAAAACATGAGGAGATGATGTAGAATATTGCAGACAGAACCGGGTGCCTGGGGCAGGTTAGAAGGTAAGCATTTGTGAAGGAGGTGTTCTTACTTCAGTTGAAAGAACTCTTGACCAACAGTTGCACTGACCCAGGCTTGAACTCTTGCTCTATTGCCTCCTGGTTTTAAGCCTCAGGTTTCCCACCTGTAAAAATGTTTGTAATAATTACCTGGAGGGATGTTGTGAAGAGCACATGGCATTACAGAGCAAGGATCTGCTGCAGAGCTGAGGCAGCCATGGAGCTCCTGATACTGGTTCTTATGATCATGCCAGAAAAGATTTCAGACATGTCACTGAGCAGCAGAAGGATTTATTAGAAGGGATAGGAAATGGCGAGAAGGGGACACTCAGGGGAAAGAGTGTCCAGAAAAGTTTCCAGAGTCCCACCCAGTCCACCTCTTGACATCTGACAGCGGAACTGCCTCAGACTTCCAAGGACTCACTGCTCATGGTAAAGGTCCAAGGCAGCTTTGGGTC